CCCTCCCCCCAATGATCTGAACCAAATATCCCCATGCCACTCACTCTTTTCCTTCTACACCCCATGATCTGAACCATTTAAAATTAGCCCCAACCTCACCTGCTAGCCTCCTTAATTCTCTTTTACTTGACAGAAAGTCCATAGCCCTTCACTGATGTTGATCATCCAACTTATCACCAACAATGAGTCACATTCCACCCCTAAATGTCTAAAACTCAGCTGTCTTGCAATACTTAAGCCTTACAGAAGGGCTTCAGAAAATTGTACAGATAAGAATGTTAGAATAGTGTATACCCTTAGCTCCATCAAATTGATGTATACAGAATTCAATGAATTAATAAAATCAGATCATTATTATTTCATGTTTGTAATTGGTGTGTTTTCAGTGTGTTACCCCTTAAACTAGACATTTATAAGAGTTGTGCTTAGAAAGTTCTCAACCATTGGATAGACTTGGGGAGTCTATCCTAACAAGGCTAACACTAATGTCTTGCCGAAATGGTGGAGCAACTTCTCTTAATTGCTAGGGTTAGACCCAAGGTACAAGCAGAATGTGTTTATGAGAAACACTGAACAAGGACCAATTTCCAGTTTTTCCCTAGACCTTGGAGATAGATGGGCAAAATTGGAAAGTTGCACTTAACCCCAAACTGGATAATGACACTACACTGGGTTAGGGATCGGATTGCTTTTGATATGCTAACCAGTAAGATCCTCTTATGGTCAAATACCTAGGTGAGTGATCATTGTAATAGGATCAACCCCACCCCTTTGTCAGACAGAGAATATAAAGGTTAACACTCTCTCTTATGGAAACCTAAAACTACCAATAGTGGATTTTGTTTTTTTTAAATCATCTTGCAAAGTATATTTATATTTATAATATGTAATTTTATGAAAAGATTTTCAAAAGGTTTTAATCCCGAAATCCATCTGAGTAGAGAGTGTGACACTGAATTATCCTTGGGCTTCATAGGGTGGTTGAAACCAAGGGTCACTTAGACTCAAGTGTATATTGAGCCCAATTCAATTGACTCAGGAATTTACTTGGTTTACCTGGTGAATTCAGCCCATGTGCTTTTCCTACATGGGCCAAACCCATATGGACTAATGTAAGACTTCTTTGGATCCCACGCCATACATTATTCAAGCCCAATAAGACTTGCAATAGTTATGTTAGTGAACCACTTGAGTAATGGGCCTTAACCCATGAGTAGTCACATGACAGCTCATGTGCTTGGGTCAAATATGGATATGGATTTGGGTATGGATCACTCTAATAACTAATTTAATTGGAGGTCTAACCAAATCAGATTTGGAAATTCCTATTTACATTAGGATTAGTTTACCTATAAAGGGGAGATGAGACGTAGAGGTCAACACATGCTTGTGCACCTCATTCTTGCATGGTGTTCTCCACTCTCTTGCAACCCAAAACCCTAGTTCGACCTACCCTTGAGAGACCATTCTTCTCTTGTTCTCTGTTGTGCTTTTCTTGCAAAACATCAGAGAAATTAAGTGGTTAACAGCTGCAAAAAATCTAAGCAAGTTTGAAGTGCAAATCAACTAGAAACGTGTTGTACGATCAGCCTCACTGTTCAACCGCACCATCTTTAGTTGGGAGGACGATTTGAGATTGAATCTTGGGCATGAACCACCACTCTGGGAGCTGTATATTGTGGTCTCCAAATCAGGTTGGATCCAATGCTAGATTGATCCTAGGAGAATCTGATTCTCAATGTTTTGGACTGTGAAAATTTTAAAATTCCGGCCACTAGACCCCAGCAAGGTTCGGCCTTTTCTGTGTTTTAACAATCCAAACAACAAAGAAATCGGTTACCACAACTGGGCCAGAATAAAAAGCTACAACTACAGACCTAACATCTTTAAAGACTCCTCTTATGCCCAGGGATCTGGGCTTTCAAAAAATCTGCTGTCAAAATTCAGTTTAATTCTCGTGTTGCTAGAGGGAATCCACACCTCATGCACTGTCAGTTTCTGCAATGAGGAAGTTTCTATAAGTCCCTAACCTCTAAAGAAGTCATCCAAAGAGAAGTCACTGAAAATTCCATAGACCTGGTCCAGTGTACATTCCTTACTTGAATGCCTTCAATATGCCTTCAATTAAAGCAGTGTTTTAAAAGCACGAGGTGCAAAAAAGGCGGAAGGGCCAATTTGTGCCCGAGGCGCATGCCTTTTTGAAGCAAGACACAAAAATACAAAAAACAATTGCTAAAAAATAAAAAAAAAAGTCAGAAAATTCAAAAAATGCCAAAGTATTCAAAAAATGCAAAAAAAATAAAAAATATTAAACATAATATTAATAAGAAAAATAAACTTAATGGCTTAAAAAACCTATTATCTAAAATTAAAATACATAAACATAAAATGTAAAGCATATTCAAATGAAAATTTAAAAACAAAATCAAACACAACATTTTCAAGCATATAAAGCCCACAATTTCTTTTTTGCCTCGATTGCATTACTTCAAGTAGCTAATGTGATATAAAACATATTACATTCCTGATTCTACAAGTCGCCTTTGTGCCACACCCCTCAAGGCAAGCCCAAACAAGTCCAAGGCGCAAGGCACATCAGGCCTGCGCCTTTTGAAAGTGCTGCACCTAGGACCTGGGCGAGGCGCCTACCCTAAAATGTGCCTCGCTTGTGCGCCTAGGCGCGCCTGGAGGCGCACCTTTTAAATCACTGAATTAAAGCAGTCACTGATTTGCTCTGGGCCCACTTGATCACAATTTACAAGCCCGAGCCCAGCCCAAGCCTGGGCCCAACCCAAGTATGTCAAATTTCAGTTCAAGCTGGACCTGGGTTGGAAAGATGGAGCTTGACCCCAGTCCCAATCTAGGCTTGGACCTTAGGCCCAACATTTAGGGTTGGGCCTGGGTTAACATTAAACCAGAACCAGACTGCCTGCCTTGCACCCCTATCTGGTTTATAGCTTACATGATGGTCTACATAGTAACCTTTCAATTTGATGTATTAATGTTTTTATATTTTTGCTGGTAGAGTGTTATCATAGCACCCTTTTTAGAAGTATGGTGACCTTTTTTTTTTTTTTTGCATTTACTATTAAGAAAAGATTACCCTGATTTCCAAACCAATTACCATTAAACTTATACTCCATATATGTTTTTTAATCTTAGTTATTTTAAATCATATACCAGCCAAATTATCATACTCCAGAATTCAGATTGCATTATCTTAATACTAGTAAAAAAATCATGTCTAAGCATCAAGGTAAGGAAATACATGCATGTATAAATATAAAAAACTTTCACAGATGGAATTAAGGTGCCATAAAATCATGCAACCAATTACTACAAAAATGTCATAAACAATAGCCGTGTACAAATCATTCTTCTTTATAATTCAACATTTAGAAGTTCGGTCAAATCACTTGCAGCATCAGCGATATGGAGTCTAGATTTAGTAATTAATACTTAGTAAAAATAAATAAGAATAATATTTTTCTGATTAGAAATCTTAAAAATATTCTATCCTGTGAAGCATTATCCTGCTATGCAATCTCCAAGAGTAAGGTTTTTCCCTTACCTTTTTTGTGAATTCAAACAGGCAACAAATTTCCAGACACAGATAAAGCCAAGAATTTAGGTTTTTGTATTTCTTTCTTAATCTGACAGGAATCTACTAGCATTCTCTAAATAATGCATGAAAGCTAGGTATTTTGTGAAAGGCATACTAACCCCAGGAAGATCAACATCTGTTGGTATGTGTTTGCAAAAATTACCATAGTATTCTTGAACTTGAAGACCCTGCAAAAGAAAATAATTATCGCAATTACTTTTGTTAAGCAACTAGTAAGCTACAGAAGAATAACAAGGGCATAAAAATATCAGCTAAGGGATTTATACTTCAGTGGTATGAGGAACTAACCTGGCTGCACCTTACACGCATTACAGCCTCAAAACCCTGGGGCCTTGTAACATTCCATCTAAGATCATTGTAAAGCTTTGCAGAATCAGAAAGAACTGAAAAGGGGTAGTAATAATAAACCTGCAAGAAGAATATCATCTTAACCATATAAAGCAAAATTTAAATTTATATGATGATAGAAAAGCATTTATAACATGCTCCAAAATTTAAATTTATATGATGATAGAAAAGAGATGGCATAGCAGGGATTAATATCACCCCCAGAACATTAATAGAATGGACTAAGCCTTATCCCACTATATGGGGTTGGCCAGATAAACATGAAAGGAAACGACATTCAAAATAAAAACAAAAGGCAACTGATGTCAAGGGAGAAAAAGCTCAATTCAGCTTGGTCTAAAAAGAAACGAGCTTTTGATAAGCTATTCGAGCTCAGATCATGAAAAGCTAAATTCAGCTCGGTCCAAACCAAGCTTCGAGCCAAATGAAGCTTGGCTCATGAGGCTCACAAGCCTAATCGAGCTTTCATATATATATATATATATATATATATTATTTTTATATGTATAATTTTTACATTTTACAAGTATAATTTTTTATAGGAAGATTGGCTCAAACGTACAAGCTTTTGAGTCAAGCCAAATTCGAGTCAAGACTCTAGCTCAAATCAAGCTCAAGCTTGAGCCTCATGGTTTTTTGGTGAGCTAAGCTTGAATAGCCAAATATCCAGCTCGGCTCAGCCCGAATCCACCCCTCTTTTAATATAAAAGACATTGGGAGAGGCGGCTAGATCATTATTAGCTTTCTCTTCCCTCTTCTCCCAACTTCTCTTCTTCTCTCAAGAAACTTTCTTTGTTTTCTCTTTTCTTGAATCTTTTTGTTTCTTTTATTTTCTATTAACTGGCATAGTAAATTTACAGCAAATGTAATGTCAGATCTGGTGATAGTTAAGATAGTTTAGTTTCCCAACCAACCATCAGTACCTCCCAAGATCATCAAAGAGTTCTCCAAAATCACTACCCAACTTCACATTAGGATCCATAGGTGTGTTACAGGTTTTGAAAAATTATATTGAATCAAGCAATTTAAACCTGAATCGAAGCTGGTTCAAAACCCAACTCTTCTTTTATTTTTTGCTACAGAAAGCAGAACAGTTTATTTACATTAAAGTAGTTAGTTCATAGTCTAGCAACATTTTTTGTGCTTCAACTAATTGCTACATGAATCACAAAACAGAAAGCAAATTCAAACAGAATCACAGGTCTCAGTGATGGTATTGAGTGAAAATCTCTCATGAGAAATAACCTAAGCAAGGAATTACTCATAAGGAATAACCTAGAAATGGCTCAATGTCCTCTAACCAACCTTTGTCAAGTTTGAGAATTGAGACATGGTATTGGCATCTCAATAATTAATAGTTAACATCATGATTAAATGCATAACAGAATAACAAGTTCAGATATACCTGTCCTCCAGTAGTTCTTGGGACAACAGAGACGGAAGCAATATCTACATATGTCTGGGTAGTTATGAAGACATCAACACAAACCTGAGAGACATTGAATAATTAAAACTATGTATTAACGACAAACTATTAAATTATACACATAATCTCCATTTTCTGCAATAGCTCAACAGAGAAAAGGTAAACACCAAGCCTGATCAAATTTCCAATCCATATCTTCCTAGTGTAGGGAAACAAACTGGTTCACTTAGACCTCACCTGGTACTCAGCAAATTCTATTGCCATTGTCTTCAAAGTCTTGTCTGCCGGTTGGAGCAATTTATGGGCTTCCTGAAATTCGATGATGGATGGAGCACTTTCAATAGAAATGATTCTATCTTTCCTATTTACAGCAACTAGGCTCCTATGATACCCGGATACCTGTACAGGGGTGCCATATTGTGTCGAAAACTTCACTTCTAGTGTAAATTCCAATTCCGACACTTTACATGGCCACATCCCTGCAATATCCGGGTATTATAGAAAGACTATGCTTCTATAAAAGAATAAAATGCACAATAAAAGGACACAGTGATTTTGAAATCTGTTTATCTATAATGTGAAGAATCTCTGACATTCAGAAGCAGAACTGCTCTTTTTCAAAATCTTTGTAATATGTTGCAAATTTATGGCAGAATAAATTAATGAATTTACTTTGTTTTTGTTTATATTGCCAGCAAAGACAATACTCCCCCAGAAGACAATCAAATAATTGACAGAAAACAACCACAGGAAAACAAGGATGAAAAATATGTTATTAGTACTACTCTGAAAAAATTACCTCCAATCTAATTCTGAATAAACATACACGAAAACACAAATAAACAAAAAACAAAAAACAAAAATAGAGAAAATTAATATCAAGAACTTAGTAACAGAATCAGCGTTAATTGGATAAGGATCTATGATGGACACCCATTGGATTACAATAACAACCAGTTTCCCTTTGAATTTTCCAACCTTCTCTCTAGTGCATATATTTATCGTTCCACCATTAATTTTACTCTTTTGCAAATTGGTGCCAAAGTCCCCAAGTGGCTTTACCTTTTTAATATAAGCTTTGCTCTATGGTACATGTTTTATTTCATTGAACAGTATTTTAAAGGAAACAGATACATTATATGATTTCCTCCCACAGGAATCCATTTTTTCTTTCCGGTTTCCCTTCTCCTTTTCCATTGGTCCTTAATGATAATAAAATGAAATGCATCTTTAAGTTTTTCATTTAGCAACCGTAAACATAAAAACAACTTATCATCTTTTCAATCTTTGGCTTTGATTTCAGCAGTTCTTTTTTTATCTCTTACAAGTACAGTGTTGAAAACAATTTTATTATGTTGAAAAAAACTAAAATCAGAATATGGAATTTTATGGAACATGGATGCTCTGGAACTTAGAACTGATGTTCAGTCATCAATGACATTATACAGAAATTAACCAGGTAGAACTAATTTTTATTGGATGAGTTTTAGCTCAAATTATGCATAATGCACTTCAATAGAGTAGTTTTAGATATCAAACAACCTGAATAAGTTATTTTTTATCATTGTACCTGTTTATGCGAAGCTATATAAATTTAAAGCCACCTAAATTAGTACCTATAATATTTTTCAACATAAATTTCATAATTTTCCATTTCTCTTACTCGTTACTACTATTGAGTCACTAATGAAAAGGTGCAATCCTGAGGCTTATCCTGAAACTTTTCTTTGAAAAAAGTGAAATATTCATTGTATTACTCCGCAAATACTCTTGTCAAGCAATATGCCATTCTCATGTCTTAGGCCGCCAGCATCTGGGAAAATTTACACCAGTCACTTGAAGTCTAGCATATCACCAGAAAATTAAAAGCAAAGGAAATTACAAAGAATCTTTCCTTGATGAGGCTGGAGTCTAGGTCAACCTTCCCAAGAAAGATATTAGTCAGCTTCGAAATCCATAACTCATATCCAGTAACTAGGTCACACTTCATAGTAATCATTGGCATAACTCTTCATGTATATGTTCTTATGATAAAGAAGTTATGCAACTGAAAGTAGGTGACTTCCCTTCTATTTCTTAGGGTTGAAAATGAATAGGATATCAATCTGATTTGAATCTGATCCATTTATGCCAGATTTGGATATCTGGTAGCAGCTAAACGAATCAAATCAGATTGACAAATGTGATTCATTATCGGATTGAATCCGGATATTGCATGGTTCAATCCATGACAATCCTATTTGATTTGATAATATATTTTATTTACCAATAATCAAATTATAAAAATATAATATATTTTTTTATTTGGCATCCTTGCTCGATAGTTGAGACCCATGTTTCAAAGAACTAAAGGGAAACACCAGATTTCAAAACCAGGGAAGACTGAAGACATTCTTTTTCTGCCCATTGGTTTTCACCACACCTAAACCAGAGATAGGCAGACAATGAATGGAGTAAGTTCGCCATTCATCGCCAGGTTAAGGTTTCACCATCGTTGGAATATAATGGCTCCTGCATTTTTTTTGGACTCAGAAAAATTAGGGATATGATTGCGGACCTTTCCTATGGTACATTGCATTTGGCGGAGACAGCTTTCAAGGAATTTATTTCAAGGGTTAAAGTTGATTTTGGGTTGAACAGTGGGAGAGGTCTTTCTACCTATTTCGCATCTGGATTTTTTTGAGAGCATTCAACTCCACTGAAATTATGATGATTGATGAAATTGGGCCTTTTTAAGCTCAGCTGCAGCAGCTTTCTCTAATCCAAGTGTGTTCTCCTCTCGCAGGAAATATTTAGTCTTTAGTTGCAGAAATAAAAGATACTTAGTGCTGCTGAATGTCTGTCTTAAAAGAGTGAGAAAAGGGCTGGTGAATCATTGATACTCCATTAACTTTTTAGCTAGATTTTTCACAATGAAGGCTACTTTCAATGGGTTTCCAGAAAATAATGGAGAAGGTAATTTGTTTATTTCTTTATTACATTTTTTCTTTATTTCTTCGTTTCCTTCTTTCTTGTATGGACATTATCTCAGTTCTCAAATTTAGTTTCAATCTTAAGTTTGATAAAATGGTTTAATTGTTGCAGTCTATACTTGTTATTTTGCTAGTGGAAATCTGTAAATTTTCTATTTTTTTTAATTGAACTGAATCAGATTCAAATTGGATATCCAATTATATAATCAAATGAATTCAAATATCAGAGTTTTGAGATTCGTCGGATTCAAACCAAATTCGGATATCTCATAATTCTTATTGAAGCAAATTTAAATATACGTCCAACCGAATTTGATTCAATCCATTTTGCATCCCTACTATTTCTTGTCTATTTTATTAATTATTCAAATTTTATCTTTTACATGTTCAATACTTGTTCTGTCTAATGCACCTAAACCCAACTAATGACAGAATCCAAACTCCAACTCCAAGCTAACAGTCTATCTAAATGGAAATAAATTGATGAAACCAAGCACAGGAAAGGGTGTCAACTCAAATTCAGACATACATACCTTCTCTCCTGCAGAGGTATTAGTTCTTCCTTCAGCTTCCCTAGCAGAAAGGGCTCCAATACCAACTGATGGCAACACTGAGTACCAAATAACACATTTATTATAAAAGTTTGATGCTTCAGTGTCCATCTTTCACTTGTATTCAAGTGCACAAATAGACACAAAGAAAGAAAATTATGTAATTCAAAACAATATTTATATGCCAAATTAAATGCTCCAATACAATGAATTCAATAAAAAAAAATCATAGAATGCAGGAGACAAACTAAAGAAACTACAAAAAACTAGAATAGCTTAGAACATCTTATATACATACACACGCGCATATACATACATACATATATGTATGTATGTGTGTGTGTGTGTGTATATATATGTATGTATGTATATTGGTGAATCTCACAAAATTTGCATATTGTGTTGTTGGGAATCACCGATTTTACAGATGCATGAGAAGTAAATATCTTATTTTTGTGTCAGAGATAACTGCATCAATATCATAAATAACAACATTATTGTCACCTTATTCAAGTTTCATATTCAAAGGTATCATCTGCACAATGATTATTGTGTGTGAATTAACACATTTTCAGACAAGGGACACAAAGCGGCGGTGGAGTGAAACAATGTCAAATAACATGCCAAACAAAAGTACAACTTTATATTTTTTATAGACAACATCCTATGATATAGAGTGAAAAGATATTGGCCCTGCCTGACTGAAATACAAGAAGCTTTCCCCCTGTGGTCTTCATCGCCAAGAAAGCAGCCTACAATAGAAAAGACTATATTTGGTCAGATTAATTTAAAATCCATAATATTATACAAAACCTGAATTCTCAAAGTTGGCTGACAACTAGACCTGTTCATGGGCCAGGCTTCAGGCCTGACTTACACTGTGTCGGGCTTGGGCTTCGGGCCGGGCCCCATTCAAATTTTGGCAAAAGCAAAGCCCGAGCCCGGCCCATGAACAGGTAGTGACAACCGCCAACTACAACTCTGTGAGCGAAAACTTGTTTAAATGAGTTCAAGGACACCAATCTGTTTAACTAAACAGTGTAAGAGTTGTTCAAGGGAACTGATAGGAACCCACCAAGTATTGCACTACAAAGGAGGGTGCTATATATAGAACAAAATAAATGGCAATGGCATTTAATTAGGCATACCTTGATTGCCGCACCAAAAGCTGATTCAGCAACTCTGTTATTCTGAAACATGGTTGGAACGTTCTCCAGTAACTGCTCCAAATGCTGACGGCACTGAATTCTCACAAGGAATTATAAAATTAGCTTATAAGTATCCTAGAAAAATATTAAGTAGAACCTCCTTAAATAATTATTCATGTAGACCTTGATAGTTTATGTCAAGCAACACTAACCTCAGAAAGTTGAACAATGACATCAGTTTGGAGAGGGGTGTAGACATCTTGAATATCAGGAACAATGAGCATCAGAGGCTGCAATAGTAAATTGAAAATCAAAATGATCATAACCCCTTTATTGATAAAAAAATGGTCATAACCCTTTTCAAAAACAAATGATCATAACCCCTTTCAGTTCTCAGTTATAAGAGCCGTATGGACATTTTCTCTGATTGGCAGAGCCATATTATCATTTAACACAACAATAAAGCTAGGTGCATGCATTATGAGGCACAGTTGGGGAAATTCCAGGATTAACCAAACTTCAATAAACAAATAGTACCACATTTCAGAAACCTACTAGCCTTATTTGCAATCATTTTATCATAATATTAGCACTGAACTCTTGTTCTTACAAAGACGTCAAGATAAAGTTTTCAGACTTTGTTACACTGTTGTCCACATGATCAAAAAGAAAAACAAAAAGAAAAAATATAAAATACAAGATCAGTATCTGGCCCTTTTCTGCTAATAATTACCACAAATACACCACATCACTTTAACTATTAAAAAATTACAAGGTGTCTCAATAAATTCAAATTGCTCCAAAAAGTAAATGTTCAAAGAAAGGGTAAAGTGAGGAGACCAGGATTGAAATCCAGAAATAATGACACCACAATGCAACAATAAATGGTATGTAGAACTTGTAGATATAAAAAATAAAAAATAAAAAACTTTGAAATTTGAACTATTTTTCCTTTTTGATTATAACCTTTATCATGGCACCTTTGTTTAGTTAGGAGTGCCAACTGCCAAGAACTATTTTCCTTATCCTTTTCTTTGGTAGGTTTGCTTGGAGCAGTTTTCTAAAAGGCATGCATTACAAGAATGTATGTTCACAGGTGAAGCTAGCGTTAATGCTACTTTAATAGTTTTGATACCTAAGAAACCCGTAGCTGTACTCCCAAAGGATTTCAGACCTAGTTGCCTTGTGACTAATTCATATAAGATCATTGTTAAGGTCCTATCCTTGAGACCAAAATTGATCCTTCCTTCCAATCACTACTTAGCTTCAAGGTGCATTCATTCTAGAAAGACAAATCGTTGTTAATTTAAGTGGCTCGTAAGGGACATGCAAATATAATTCTCATGGGTACAAAGGTTGGCTAATGGCATGGTAGATGCATTAGCTAAACAAGGGATTACCAAGGAGAATTTCTATTGGGATCAATTATAATGTGAAATCTGTTTTGGGGAATGGTAAAACCCTTACCCTCCCCAACTCCAAGAGGCATTTTCAAAGATCTCTTCATTTTCTCATTACAATTAATACAAACTTGAATTATCTATCAAAAAAAAGATACCATGGAAATGTGTAAGAGCAGCTGTCTTCTGGTCCACTTGGGAAGAGAGGAATGCAAAAATCTTTAACAAAGAATCCCACACAAAAGAAGTTTTGTTAGAATACAATTTTGGTAGGAATGGCTCATTGGTTGTCTAGGGATATTGAAGTCAAGCTAAATTGGGTCAAAAGAAGTGCAAATTCTTTTGTGGATGGGTAAACTAAGCAAGGGATAAATAGGGACGATTTGTTTTGGGCTATTGTGTAATTTGTGCTGTATTTCCTTTGGTGAGGAGTTAAGAGAGTTTATCTCCCCCCATCTTGTTGCACCTCTTCTTATTTTTTATTGAAAGTCATTCTGTTATTGATCAAAAGAAAAGGAATGGCTCATTGGATCAAGGCCTTGCCCATTTTTTGCATCCTTTTCAATAAAAGACATCTTGAGGAGATATCATATAGCAAGTTCTACACATGAACAGCCTCTCCTGGTCACCTCTAAATCTGCATCAAATAAAACTAAATTTTGACAGAAACAGTGTAGGTAATCCAAGGCCTCCAGTTATAGGTGGAGTGTTTAGGTGTTTTCTGCTTAGAATCATAGGCGGAAAGAGATAAAAGAGAGAAGGAAGAAGAAAGAAAGTAAAAGAGGAGAGAATGTTCGAAGGCCAAAAAATTTGGGCTGGTGACACCTTGTTTTTCATTTATACTAGGGCAAGTTGAACTTAAGAAATAAAGGGAAAATACAAAAGTGCCCCTGGTGCCACATTCTAATATAAACATTAACAGCACCCAAGCAACACTCCCCTCAAGTTGAGTTGTATATATCGATCATGCCCAACTAGTCACAAAGTTCATTGTGTCATAAATACGGAAGCCCCTTTGTAAGAAGTAAGAACATCTTCTAGTTGCTCCTTTGAACTAACATAAAGAATACAGACTTCACCACTTTCAAGCTTCTCCCTTATAAAATGCTTGTCCACCTCATATTGCTTTGTCCTATCATGGAGGACAGAATTAGTTGCAATATTTATGGCCACCTTGTTGTCACAGTAGAGGGACATAGGACTGTTAACACTAAATCCCAACTCTCCCAATAGTTTTTTATCTAGAGCACTTCAACAACCCCATGTGCCATAGCCATATATTCAGCTTCTGCACTTGACCTTGCAACTACACTTTACTTCTTACTCCTCCATCTCACCAGGTTTCCATCTACAAAGTGCAATACCTACTGGAGAATTTCCTATCATCCATAGGACCTGCCCACTCTGCATCTGTATGCACCTCTATTTTCATCTGCTTGTGTTTCCCGAACAAAAATCCAGTTCCAAGGTACTTCTTTAAGTGTCTAACAACTGCTTCCAGGTGTGGTACCTTAGGGAGTGCATAAACTGACTCAGAATCCCCACAGCATAGGTATCGGGACAAGTCATCAAATAGGTACAACCCACTAACCATTGAAATTGTTCCACATCCTTCAAAGGTTCTCCATCACAATCACCCAATCTGTGATTCACATCAATAAGGGTACCAACATGTTCGGCCCCTAGTTTCCCTTTCTCTTGTAAAAGATCTAGGATGCATTTCCTATGAGACACAAAGATAGCCCTTTGAGAGCAAGCAACTTTGATCCCAAGGAAATACCATAGGGATCCTAGAACTTCCACTTCAAATTGGGTGGCCAGAAACTCCTTCAACTTCTGTATATCAGAACTCCACATATACTATTAGCATTGCAACCTTTCCCTAGCACTTCTTAACAAAGAGAGTACGACCATACTAGAAATTACCTAACACCTACCTATTGAACCGCCATATGAAACTTGCTAAACCAGGCCCTAGGAGATTGTTTCAAGCCATAAAAGGACTTTTTCAATCTGCACACCTTGTCTTCACTGCCATTTAGGAATGCATTTTTAATGTCAAGATGATGTACTCCCAATCTAATTTAGTGGCCAATGACAGAAAGACTTGAATTAGAGTTCATCTTTGCTACTAGGGCCAAATTATCAACCTAATCAATACCATACACTTGTGTATTGTCTTTTGCACCAACCTTGCCTCGCACCTTTTTATTGTCCCTTCTGCATTGTGCTTCACTAAGAACACCCATTTACACCCTACCAATTCTTTCCCTTTCAAAAGATTCACCAACTCCTAAGTACCATTCTTATGGAGAGCATTAATTTCCACCTTCATAGCATTTGTCCATTTAGGATATGCCAGGGCCTCTACAACATTTTTGGTATGGGGACACTATCAATGGCATATAAGAAAGCACAATAAAAGGGAGAAACATGATCATAGGACATATAATGGGTGATGGATGCTTTGTAGTGCATGACCTAACACCCTTTATTTGGGCAATGGGAATGTCAAAGTCATCCACATGATCATCAACAAAAATAGGGACAAAAAAGTCAATGGGAATAAGAGTACCTGATTGTGGCCTAACTTCTTGGGAGTCTGATGTGTCAATTGCATAGTTTTTAGGAGATCCACTTCCTTAGCATGGTGTTGATTCTACGGTGCTTACACAAGAAGACACAAAAGGAGTTGGATCCGGGATGGAGGGAAGGTGCACTTGACGAACGTGTTGCTTCTTCTCCACACAACTCTCCCCCTTAGAAGTAGCAAGGTAGAAGGGCTCATACTCAAAAGAGACATCCATAGAAACAAGGTACTTACAAGCAACTTAATCAAAGCAACACTAGGCCTTCTGAGTAGATGGATACCCATGGAATAGACTCGGGGTCCAACTTACCATGAGAAGAAGACAAGTCATGAACAAAAGACCAACATCAAACATTCATATAGGGATGGAGAACAAAGGAGATTGGGAGAATATAAGTTAACGGGGCCCCTTATAGTTCAACACTCTAGAGGGCATACAAGTTGATTACGTATGCAACAGCAAGCACATCACCCATCCAAAAATGTTTTGGTATAGTCATGTGTAACACCATCCCACAAGCTACTTCATGGTGTCTATTCTTCCTTTCTACAACACTATTTTGTTGTGGTGTTTTTGCACAAGAGCTACGATGAAGGGATCCATGGTATGCAAAAAATTCGTTTAAGTCACCATGGAAGTATTCTTTTCCATTATCTAACTAGAATATATGAACCTCCACATGAAATTGAGTAAACACCATTAGATGAAATTCTTTTACAATTTTTGGAAACTTATCTATGGTCAACATAGGAAATATCCACATGTAGCAGGAATAGTCATCAATCAAACTAAAAAAGTGTTTGTAGCCACCCTCAGAGGGTATAGTGCTAGGCCCCCAAACATCAAAATGTGGAACAAAAAATCTAATCTTTTATTATTTAAAGAAGACTTACAAATCAGGAAACAAATACTTCAGCAACTCAAAAGACAAATGACCTAGGTGATTATACCATAGAAAAGCTCAACTCTTGTTTACATGACTCAACTACTTAACCCTAATACTGATGCCAAGAGACCAGCTTTATTTTCAAGGACATAAAAGCCATCCACCATGCTTCCTCTACTAATCGTCTTCCTAGAGGTTTAAGTCCTAAAAAACACAACGAGGAAAGAAAGTCACACTATCATTTAAGGAATGAGTGGTACTACTAATAGATAGTAAATTCAAATGAAGCTTTGAAACATGCAACACATTAGAGAGGGTAAGGTCGTAGGGGATCCTGACCTACAATGGAGGAGAATGATCCATCTGCAAGCCTCACCTTATCCCCCCGAACAAAAGGCTATACAACTAAAATA